ACAGGAATGTATCCTTGCTCATTCTTACACAAAGTCGCTAGCACATTAATGAGGGTTATATATGTATGGCAAGACGTGCACATACAAACCATAAAATGCCCATTGCAGGAAATGAGGAAGTTTTTATGCACAATGTTATATCAACAGCAGCAATACAAAACATCATTCAGACAGGCAGAGATATTTTTAGTGCCCTCCTAATGCATGCCGGGTCGCTTTGCCCAGACAGCAAAGCACTTTGTGTTTATATAGCTTTGTACCCTTCTGCTTTCAAGTAGATAATATAAACCCTTGTAACAAAGCTGGAGCCTGAGAGCATGGCTTGCCCGTCGACTTAAGGAGGGCCTCGGGGAGAAATGGCACAAAGAACTCCTTCAAAACAAGTGAGCGATGCTCTGAGCTGCCCGAACACTGCAGCCACAGATAGGGACCAGTTCTGCACTAGATCCCCCTGATGTTGTGCTGGGAGTTAAATGCATGGCAAATGTGGGAAGAAAGGAAGCGCTGAGCATGGGGAGATCCAGGGAGGTGCTGCAGAGAAAACTTGATTGGCTAGGGAAGATGGGCGGGGGGCTCTTTTAGACTGAGGCCCACATTTCTAAGGGCCACAGGCCGGTGGCAGATGAGGCCAGAGACAAAACTAAGCAGAGCAACTGGTGTGGCTTACCACTGCACAGCAGGCAACATTCCAGTCAAGCAAAAGCCAGAGGTTTCAACATACCCAGGAAATCAGACAAGGAGGCCTTTGAAGATTGCAAGAGATTTCAGGCCAACTCATTAGGCCTGTTTTGGATTCAGCTCTCTCTCTCTCTCTCTCTCTCTCTCACACACACACACACACACACACACACACACACACACAAACAAACAATGCAAGGAGCCTCGTGAAACTTGCTTTTCTCTAATCTCTACTTAAGGCACACACCAGTGTTAGAATGGGTGGGAGGAAGGAGAAAATATTGCATCATGAGGCTGAATTGGAAAGCACACATTATTAATTTCTTCTGATGGACAGCTGATTACTAAAGTGGTGATATGCAGGCCCCATTGCTTCTTGTGTGGATGGGCATCCCATTGTCATGGGCTTTGAAATTTGGTGGTCTGTTTCAGCTCAGACCTTACAGCCACAAAGCATCACCTATACCTATTTGGGTTCCTGAATAGAAGTGGTTATTGAGTGTGGGGTGTTTAAACTTTTCTCTCCATTCTTTGTCTGCAGATCTGTATTACTTCAGAAAAGGAACACGACGGCTTTATCAAAGTATGCAGTGGAAAGAAAAAGGGCTTTGTCCCCGTAGATGCCCTAGAAAACATCTGAGTTTCCCCTGTTCAACCACTGCAGTTGTGATGCTTTGCTGGCAAGACCTGCCTGCCTCATCTTGCACTGTGTAACCCCCAACGAAGCTGTCTTGCAGATGACCAAGGAAATCATATGACAACCACAATGCTCAGTTGATATCAGACATTTAAGCAACAAGAGATGGTTGGTCAACAACAATCAGGAATGGAGCCAGACAAGAGTGGTACGAGGCTTAGGAAAGGAATAGCTTGTTTACTTTTTAAAATAAGTGAAAAGTTAAACTGGATAATTTTTTTGAGCAAGGCTGCTAACTATTACACTGATGGGAACAGAGAACTAAACTTAGATTTGCACCCTGTTCACATGTCTTAAGAAAACTGTTTGGGACTTCTTTCTCATTTGAAGTGTGATTGAATGAGTAACGGTTCAGACCTTTTCCTTGTATTACTACAGCTTGAAGTATATAGTGTGAGTCTGGTCCTAAAATGTTGTCCATGATTTTAGCGAATCGGCATAATGTTTGGTTCTGACTTTTTTCAGTTTCAGTAACAAGGCAGTTTGGATGAATTGTAGAGCTGTTGGTTTAGGAAACAGTCTGTGGTCTGGACTTCTCTGTGATTTTTGATATATGTTGCTGTGGCGATCTTGTACGTCCTTTGGGTTCTTGTATACAAGCAAAGATTTTAGCACATGTTGGATGTAAATGTTTAAACAGCTGATGAACAAGCACTGTTTCCCCAAAGCAGGCCTAGTCCAAAATAGTCTTTCCTTTTCCTTCTGTAGGAAAGAGGCAGGTCTCAATAACAAGAAACTGGGTTGCAGAATTTTTCTATTTTTCTGATATTGTTTGAGCATATTTTTTAATATATATGTGTATATAGCATGTTCCTGTTTATATGGTTAACCAATTTCATTTCACAACAGGGGGAAAACAGATTCTAGCTGACAAAAAACAATGAGTGGAATAAAAACATACTGAGCTAATACATTTGTGAACAAAAGCAACCAAATTCAAAAGACCAAAGGTGTTAGCAGTTCACCTTGAAGCACATGCCAGAAACAATCCAACGTACAGTTAGGCACATTTCAGCTTATTGACTTACAAGACTTACAAGCACACCTAGTTTGGGAATCTGGCCACAGATGGAAACCGCAGCTATAAAACCAGAATTTCACCCACTGTTTCAAATTGTGGTTCAACGAGCAATCTAGTCAGACGTTCTGTCTGCATCAAGGAATCATCCTTGAGGCTGTGCAGAATGTATGGGCCTGTGCAGAAATTACAAGGTACACAAGAATTCAGAGACTTAAGTAACAAGGAATCTATTGTTGCCCAACATTTACTGTTTTAAGAGTTCCAAGCCCCTCTCCTTCTTCTTATAAATCAACTATCTAGAAATTCCCCTTTGAACAAGTTTTACCAGCATGTTTAAAACGTGCACACAGTCTCAAAGGCAATATAAACATAAGGGAAGGAAAAGAAGGCGGTGAGAGTTACACTTGTAAAGGATGAAAGGGTTGCAGACAATGGCGATTTCCCCTTAGCCAATTGACCTTGGTATCGTGTATGACAGCTCCACAGAAAATCATGTGCCGCCCTTAAAACACTTCAGCTCTTTGGCTGAAGAACAGGGTTGGCTAACCTGAGGCCTAGGAGATATTGCTGGATTGCAAATCCCATTATCTCTGACCACCAACTCTGCTGGCTGGGGCTGATGGGAGTTGGAGTCCAAGAACTTCTGGCAGTTAGCCACAGGTTAGCCACCCCTGCTGAAGAAAAACAACAACTCCACAGTTGTGCACTTTTGAAAACTGCTTAGCTGGCAGCTCTTAAGCAAGAAGCACGTAGCTGTATTCCAGTACCTCTAAGTACATCTGTTCAACCTTCACCTCTTGCCTTGCACTCCAATCTGTGGCTGAAACCCAGTGCGTATTTGCTACCAGAGATGGTGCAGCTGGGACGTTCATGGCCACTTTTTTTGTACTTAGCAAAGGGCTCCTGTGTCTAGCATATACTCAACTCTGCATCCCGATCCTGCAGTTACATTTGCCGACATGGAAATGCTGAATGTGTGCATGGCTCATCCGTACAACAGGAGCCATATGTGGGCTTATAGGTCCATGTATATATCTGAGTAGCTTGAAGAAGTTTGCCTGTTACTGTATGGAGTAGAATTGGACACTGATGACAACCATTCCATCCATTTTCTAGCTCTTGAACATGTAAATAGGTAAAGCCATCCCCCAAAAGAGAAGGGGGATTCAGCTTCATATCTTTTAATATATATACTATATATATATATATTTGCGATTCCTTTCCCCCCCCTTTTTTTTTTTTTTGCATAGGAAAACCAGGCAACTTAAAATGTAATCCTATGCATGTCTGCTCAGAAGTTAAGTCTCACTGAGTTCAATGAGGTTTACTCCCAGGTAAGTGGCTATGGGATTGCAGCCTTAGTGTTAGGAAACAAAAGTCCCTTATAACAAAGGGGAAGGACAGCAGACACATTATCGACACAGCCTCTTTTATGTCATGGCTTTATTTGACATTTACTGATCTGAGCAAAGTGGGGTCCTGCAATGCCTGCCGAAAAATCAAACTCAGTGCTATAGTTAGTGTCTTCTGATCCGCAAAGACTAGGTCAAATTATACATCCATCCATACATGCTACTGTTTACTTGAATGCAACATACTGTGATTCTGTCCTGTTTCAGTGGCTTCTGTTAATTTCAAGTTCCTCCTTCAATCCTGCTTCATAGGGTAAAGATGAATATTACTTTCAGTTCACAATGGCCTTTAATCAACGTCTCATTTCTTTTGATACTAAGCAATAAAATAAAGATTTTTTTGTAAGAAAAAAATTCCTGAATTAACCATACTGTTATAAACTGATGCATATCACTGTTCTCATGTTCCTTTGGTTCATCAAAGAGCCTTGTATTAGTGCTCAGCTATTTAATGTTAAACAGGTGCCTGAGGCAGCCACCTCACCTTGCCTCATGGGTGGGCTGGGCCTACAATTGCAGATAACGCAGTAAGGAGAGAGAAAATCCCACATGCATGTTACGTGCTAATACATCCCCGCCAAGCACCACCCACTGATGTGAAAGAGAAAAACAGAGTTCACCTGAATGCTCGTGTGTGGATGAAGGTGCACATCAACGTACACAGGAAAAATGGATCTGTGTGACGCACATGCACACTAACACACTGGTGTGTCCCCAGCCCTCGTGTGTCCCCAAGGCAAATGCATATAGAGCACCAGGATGTACACAGTGGACCTTGGTAACATTGCAAATTAGTGCCTCACAGAGGGTTTGATTCTCTTCCCTTTGCCCGGCATGTGTGCAGTTACAACAGATATAGCACTAACAAACTGATTAGTTTTGGATAGACGAGCTTTCGTGTGACACTGGATCACAAGAAAAATTAATTTCAGAGGCTAGATGTTGGCATCTAATTTAATATGCTGTTTAATAAAGAACCCACAGTCACTGGAAAGAGAACATGCACTTTGTCCTCTTCATTAGATAGGAGAGTTCTCTTACAGTGCACACTGCCGCTTCCTTCCCAGAAGAACACAGAATACATCTTCCAGCTCTAAATGCTGCTAAACCTGTTTTTTCTCTCACTGGGTTTTGTCATAGTGTGGGCCTTTGGTACATGCAACCAAACATGTTTCGACTGAGCTGCTCATTTTGCTTAAGCAGCCACAAAGGACCTCCTTTTACAATGAACTTTGCAACGCACCATTAAGATGGGGACATGTGTTGCTGCTGTCCCCCCAATAGGCTGCTCCTCTGCCAAAATACTTTGTCCTTATCTAGTGACATCAGCTAAGGTCCACTTTGTAACATACTGTCTACATCATCAATTAGCAGAGCAATGATAATGGATGCTCATCTGATCAAACATGTATACATCTCTCTTTTAGGTTCTGCTCGTTTTCAATTTACAGGGTGCGATGATAAACAAAACACATTAGCTTTTTCTTAGGCAGTGTTTGGGCATACCCTATCGCTTGATAATCTCCACAATCTAACCAGGGCCAGTGTCAGAGAATGAGCCACCTGAATCACTGCTGTCTTCTCTTCATGATGATTGTGGCTGATCACCCCGTCTCCCCCTCACAGCTTACTTTCCCTAGACACACTCCATGACTTTTCTTCTCGCTTATATCATACCCTCACCCTCCAACATTTCTCCAATGAAAATAAAGGTAAAGGACCCCAGACAGTTAAGTTCAGTCGCTAAAGACTCTGGGTTGCGGTGCTCATCTCGCTTTACTGGCCAAGGAAGCTGACGTTTGTCCGCAGACAGTTTTTTCCAGGTCATGTGGCCAGCATGACTAAGCCGCTTCTGGCAAAACCAGAGCAGCGCACAGAAACGCTGTTTATCTTCCCGCCAGAGTGGTACCTATTTATCTACTTGCACTTCAACGTGCTTTCAAATTGCAATGTTGGCAGTAGCTGGGACTGAGCAACAGGAGCTCACCCCATCGCGGGGATTTGAACCGACGGCCTTCTGATTAGCAAGCCCTAGACTCAGTGGTTTAGACCACAGCGCCACCCGCGTCCAATGAAAATAGGGGTGTCCTATTCATTATTATTATTATTATTATTATTATTATTATTATTATTATTATTACCCCACTCATCTGACTGGGTTGCCCCAGCTTCCAACATATATAAAAACATAATACAACATTCCGGGATCAAATCAGAAACCGGGATGGCTTCTGTAAATCCAGGACTGTCCCTGGAAAATAGGAACATTTGGCAGGTCTGTTATATGATAGCAGCAGCGGTGTGGCCCTCCATCATCTCACTCTAGGAAGGGCCAAAAGGCCCCCTTTTTGGAGCCACCAGCCTCTGCTTCTGCCTCTGATTCTGGACTGCTCTCTGCCCCAGCCTCTTCCTGCTCACTAAACCCTGTTGCCTCTTCAGCTTCTGACCCTTCCTCCTCCTTGTCTGCTTCCTCTTCTCCCTCTGACCACTCCCCTGGTTCTGAGCCTTCTTCCCCTGCAGCTCAGGCCTCCCACCACTCCAGTGCATCCAGCCAGACCACGACACATCCAGCGGCAAAGTTGTGAACAGACGGAGTGATTTTTAAGAGGGAAATCAGTGAGAGGAGAGGTGGTAGTTTTCTTCAAATGCTCTCCCCCTAACTGTGATTCCAGAAAATGTGGTTGCTCTTCCAAGGAGCCCCAACCTGCCTCCACTGATGTTTGGAAATCTCACGTGCTAAATTAAAATATTTTGTACATCTAACAAAAAGACTATGAAACCTTCCCAAAACCAAACATTTCTGTTTCAACCGTGGTATGTTAATTTAAATGAAGATCCCCTTTACATCTTCATGGTGTCTCAGTACTAAAATGTTAGGTTGTTGGCACAAACCCGTTAGCACATTTTAACACCTACTCCATTTGCCGTATTTCAGCAAAGTATAAAATGCTGGACAAATAATCATTTTCCTAAGTGGAATGTACTGTCAGCACATCCTCCATGGTTAACTACAAAAATAAATCATCCGGCAAGACACCAGCCCATTGTTATTTTAAATCCATTTATAAACACTGATAAATAGCAGCAAGTAAAGTCTACAATTGAGCCAATGTTGTTCAACAGTCCTCTAAAAGTGGGATGTGATTGGGTCAATTAGGGCTAAAAGGCAGAAAGAAAGCCAGAAGAGCAGAGATGGAAAAGGATAGACTTAAGAAAAAAGGATACACACAACTAAAACAAGAACGTCTAATTCTGTGTATTCAGTTGCAGGCCCAAATCAAAGAATCCCCATTTCCTACGCACTAGCTGCAAAAGACTATCCTTATGGTGAATGCCTATCTGGGTCACCATACAAGGAATACCTCAGTGAATCCACCCGATGATTAGGGATTTGTGTGTGATTGGAATGTCCCTGCTAAACAGGGACATCCCCAGAATGTTCCTTCGGATACCAGCCTTGATAGCTCAGTTGGTGTACAGCATGAGACTTTAAATCTCAGGGTTGTGGTTTGGAGCCTCACGTTGGGCAAAAGGTTTCCGGCATTGCAGGGGCTGGACTAGATGACCCTCGTGGTCCCTTCCAACTCTTAACAGTTCTCTGATTCTAGGTATTCTTTCAAAGCAGCTTGAGTAGACATAAAACATCTGCAGGAAAAACAAAAGGCAGGCGAAAATGGGCTTCCTGCAGTATAAAGTAAAACCTAGATAGCTTGCAGGAAGGACAAAATGGGACCTGCAACAAATTCCATCCATTAGGGATGCTTCCTTTCACGATTCTGGCCAGCCAGTCATTGCTTTTTTCAGGACAATCTGTAGCCTTATTGGAGTTCACCGATTGGGTCTGCGTTGCGTCCCGGACAGGAGGAAGGAAGTCAAATGACACCGAGGGTTGGTTCAGAGAAAGAGTTCTTTATTTCTGCTCTCTGGAACAGCAGAAAGGCACTTGCATGGTCAGTTCACAGCAAGTCCAAAGAAAGAGAGATTTCATGCAGTATATATATCCTCCAGGCACCCGCTCCCTCCTTCCCCAGGAATCCAACCACGTCAACCTATACACACAGGTTGACATCACATATGTTCCTGCTCCGGTATTCTTAACCCTTAAATAAAAGGGTATTCCTTCCTGTACTTCTGACCATAAAAGGGTATTCCTGTTCTTATACTCTTATCTTGGAGCAAGAGGTCACCAACTCCAAGAACACACTCTGGCGCTGTTCCGGGACTAGGTCTGTGCGTCTTTATGGTCAGGATGTAAGATAAGGTCCAGAGTGTCATCCCTGTTCCACTTTGGAATGGACAAAGCCATCCATCATTACCGGCCTTCATGGACTGATAAGGGAGAGAGCTTTGAGCACTTGTTTACACAGCTGGGTTTTGGCTCAAGAGCTCAAGTTAAAGCATTTTAGCTAAGGAAAAATAGGGATTTTGGTGCAGTTTCAAACTGCCTGCACAGTCAGTTTTGGGTTTGGGAAACCCATTCCTTCAAATCCATTTCCCATCCCCAGCTTTCAGGATTTTCTCCTCCTCTCCAACAGCATCTCACAGATGCTTGGGACAGTGAAGTCAGTGGGTTCCATTCACACAGCAGATTTCCATTTGTACATAGACTTCCCCCTCCCTGCCTCTGCAGCCCTGGAGCAGATTTTGAGGGTACGTGGGGAAAGGAGAGGAGGAGGCGGCCCAGTCGCATGAGCAGCATTTTCATGCCGCATTGGGTATAGCTCTATACAGGGGTGCCAACTTGAATAAAATATTGGGGGGGCTAGGTAAGCCCCACCCTGCATAATCGATCACATGATGCTGTGCACACACATCATTTGAATGGCAGTGCCCATCATCTTTGGAGGAGCTTGACCCCCTCAAATATTTTATTGGGGGGTGAAGCCCCCACAGGCCCTAGGAGTTGGTTCCTATCGCTCTATATTTGTAACGGGGCGGTGCCCCCTGTCCTTTGCTTCTGACCTTATGGCTCTATGTTTTCCTGTATCTTTGTGCTGCTCTAGGTCCATGGCCTTTGCAGGGAGTGAGACTGCTCAAAATATTTATTATGTGACAGTAAAGAGCTCTGGGCCGTTTTCTCTTTTTAGAAAAGCCCTCCTTTGCTGTGCTATAAGTTAAAAGCTTCGCTTAAGTTTTGTTTCAATACTACATTGTTCTGCTTTAATATTAAAAAAATCTGAGCTCTTCAGAACCCTGCAGGCATTGAGGCTGAGAAAGGCTCGTAGGGCTTGAAGGTAGCAGAGACTGCCCTAGACCTCTGGAGAGAAATGCTGGGCTCTTCAGAAAAAACAACACATCCAAAATTGATTGGCAGGCAGAAAGGCAATTCATGGCTCTATATGCCTAGGGGGGCT